TCAAAGATGATGAAATTTTTTTTTTTAAATCATTTCACTTCGGGCAAGGCACTAATGCCATTAAGATGCAAATGGTTATTGAGTGTGAGAGAAAATAAGAAAAAGGAAAACATTATTAAGGAGGGAGAAAAATAAAAGAACAGGAATTAATGAAAAATAGCAGATGTAAACAGTTCTTTAGATAGGTTTGCCTATCGTCCAATTCATACTTCTTCCATGTTTTTGAATAGAAGTAGAGGTTTAACATTTGTTTCCTGTTTAGGATTGGGTGTCTAGTTCCTTTTCCTAAAATCTTCTTATTCTCTTTCACTGCCAGTAACCCTTTTCTTCTTATGAGCATTATCGCTGTGCTTGGGTGAAATGATAGGAAAAAATGTGTAGGTCATCTAATGGTTAGTGGTTCAAAATACAAAAATTGGTAAGCTGAGTTGAAATTCCAGTTGAGTCTGTTATATTCACTTTTGCACAAATACTCTTGGAGAAGGTCTGAATCCATTGCTTCTCCTCCAGTTCTGTACTAAATAGCAGGGGTCTCTAGCCATGGTCGGCAGCTGGTCTAAGAGAAAGACAACACTTAATTGAAAACCATATGTAGCTCTGGCAAAGCATATACTATACAGCTAGAAAAAAGATTATGAACTTTACAGTTAGCTTTAGCGGGGAGATTGTAGACTATCAGTTTGACTGTTGTCGATTAGGTGGGTAAGTTTGAATGTCTCATTATGTTTGCTGAATATTTTCACGTATCACAATATGGCACAAATTGTTATGGCAGAAAAGAAAGAAAATTTTATGCTTGACTTGGATTTTCCATTCTTTAAGTGACTGTGTAAAACCACTGTCTATAGTAGTATTTCTCAATTGTTTTACCCTTGTGGAATGTTTGAAGTAGTTTTTATGTCTCAGGAAACCCCTGCATAAAAATTATTATATACCATTATTAATATCTTTCACTTTTATATTTTATTATAATTACCAAGGATTTTAGTATAGGCGATAAGAAAATTAAAAATAGAATAGACCAGCGTTTCTCAAACTTTTTACCCTTGTGGAAACCCTGAAATAATTTTCATGTCTCAGGAAACCCCTGCATAAAAATTATATAATTTTAAATAATATAAGGGGTTGAAGCCTGTATTATAATAACCAATGATTTTCCAACAATATGCTGTACAAATATAGTGAAATCTTACTTATTATAAAACCCAGGTTGTGTGTGTGTGTGTGTGTGTATGTGTGTCTGTACGTTTATATATTGGATCGGATTTCCTACATTTTTCAACTGATTTCAACAAAACTCCACAGGACTACGTAAAATTACCTTGTGGTGGTTCTGACAGCGCCAAAAATTGGAAAAACACAATTGTTTTTGCACAAAATCAATTTGAAAACACGATTAAGAGGCATCACAAGAATGAAAGGGGGACAACTCATATCGAGTTATACTTATTATAAAACCCAGGTTATTTTGTTTGTGTGTGTGTTTGTTTATATATGGGATCGGATTTCCTACATTTTTCAACTAATTTCAACAAAACTTCACATTTTTTTGGCAGGTAGTGTTTCTTATTGTCTTGCACACTTTTTTCTTTATTTTTACATTCAGAATGTTTTAAAAATTCCGTTTACAAGACAATTATTTATAATAAAATTCTATTCAATCGGTAGACTCATAACGATTGAAAACAATGTTTGAGTTTGGGTTTGACCAATTTGTAAAAAAATAAACAAAAAAAAAACAAAAAAAAAAAAACTAATTAAGACATGTGTGTCCATCAACCTTAAACAATAATCTTTGTCAATTTTATTTTTCAGTCTTTATGATGGTCGATACTTGATCTATCTCTTACTGTTACATCCCTGGGCAACACTGGGCTCTACTGCTAGTTATGAATATAAGATTCAAGAAAAAATGACTCAAAATGTATTAGGCTATTTATTACTGTTCATTGTGGAAAATAAAAATTATCAGCAATGAATTCTCTCCATAGAGGTGAAAGAACTGGTGTTGGTTGATTGGGAGATTTGCTTGAATCTTCTTGTTTTCTCTCACCTAGTTAAAATGTGATTGTGCTTTGGGCATAAAAGGGGTACCTGTTGATAGACAAAGAAGCAACTATTGTTAACCACTGATCTGTTCTGCTTTGTTACAAAGAGCATCTTTTTCACAGCTCTACCAATTGTTACCTGGGCATTCTATGTGCGTTTCCTATTTTTTGAAGTTAGAGCTAGACCCGTCTCCCCGGGAAATTAGTGGAATTTCCGACATTTTTCTGGAGTCCCTAGTGACCACTTATGGTACCCTAGGGTTCAGGGGGAACCCCAGTTGAGAAACTCTGGTCTCTAGAAAAAGCCAACTTTTTTCCTTTTCTTTTTATAATAAACTAGTCCAGTACCTGTTACTACATTAGTGGGAAGCTGATTAAATTTCAAGTCATTTGTCCATTTAAAATACTACATTTATGACAAAATATATTATGTCTAAATACAGAATGTGTTATGAAAATGACTTCAAATGGTTGGCTTATACTTTTCTCTGTTACCCAAGAGTTGTTGCCAGAGAGAAAGGGAAATTAGCTTTCACACCATAGATATCCATTTTAATTTGATTTAAATTGCACCTGTATATATATTTGCATGTATGTGAATGTATACTTTAATTAAACGACAAACCTAAAAATATTTCTACAAAATTAAAAAAAATATCTTTAAAAAATAATTTTATTTATTCCTAAAAGTTCAATAAAATCTTATAATTACTTGATATCTTTAATGTGTTTTGTCTTTGACTTTATTGTTTTATTGCTCAGCCCAAGGTAGGAACTGTCTAGACTGAATGGGAGGGGAATGTATTATTCCACTGTCTTATTTCAAGCTCAGTAAAATTGTGTGTGTGTGTAGATTAAATGGCAAAAGCACGTGTAAGTTGCTCATGAGCAACGCACATAAGCAAACACATTGGAAATGTGCATGGAAAGTCGTATACAGACTTTACATTATGGACGGACAATCGTCTCTTCTTTTATAAAAGAGATTGAGTAGAGATGGTAGCTGTCGGGATTAATCCCTTCTGACATAAATCATAAAATATCTTTTATGAAGAAATAACATTTTTGCCAATTCAAATTCAAGTCTTAAGACTGTTTGCTTATTATGTCTACAATAGAAGCAATGGTGACCGAGGTTTTTTCTGCTACGGATCATTACCCGCTATGACATATCAACTGATTTATCTTAGATGGTAAATGTAAATTTTGTGGTTGCAAATTCACATTATTGATGCAACTGAAAATAAATATTCTATTTTATGAATGATTTGGTACAAGTTTTCTGTCATATGACCCCCCCCATATATATATATATATATATATATATATATATATATATATATAATGTGGTGCATGGTGAGTGCAGTGATAATAAAACTACTTGATGTAAATAACAGTTTAAATTTATACTACTAATATACATTTATATATATATATATATATATATATACACATTTTACATATACATACATACATATACATACACATTTTATATATATATATATATATGTGTATGTATATGTATATGTTATATATATATATATATATATATATATATATATATATATATATATATGCAATTTATATATATATTATTTGGAAAGCACTCAATATCAGTGAGAGAGCTAACATCCTTAGTTGGATTGATGTGAGTTTGTGACCCTGGGTTTCACACTCTCTGTGATCGTCAGTTTTTTGTTTGACGATTGCAGAGAGTGTGAAACCCAGGGTCATAAACTCACATCAATCCAACTATATATATACATATACACACACACACACACACACTATACCATAATCAAATGCATTCTAACTATAAGCAAGATTAAAAAATTCTAAAAATCTCAATATATTCACCATTGTTATATTTCACGAATATATTCCCCCACTGATTCCAGTAAAAAAATAAAACTAATTATATACTACACTAAAATTAACACAACCAACTTAATCATACCCAGTAACTCTTCTCCGTCAACTATTGTTTTGGAAAAGACCAACAATGTATATCTGTTTAAATGTCCTTTGGGATATTGTATCTCTGACAAAAATGTAAGTACATATGTTGGTTTGACGACCACAACATTATGGAAACTTCTTACACTTCATTTGTCAGATACAAGTTCTATTTTACAGCATTTAAAAACACATTCCTGTCTACCTTCACAATACAGGAAAATACTTGTTGATAATATATTACACCACAAAAATACTAAACAAAATTTTCAAATACTCGAGACTCTATATCAAAAGCAACCAACCAACACCTAAAATTTATTACAAGTGTAGCAACAGTGTGTTGAAGTGCTTTTTAACCAATATTTTATACCATATTGCATTTCTACCAGTTTTTAGTTAGCTCTATTTTATTAAGACACTTGTTTTGTAGAAAATTCCATAGGTACAACAGATAAATTTAAAATTTTAAAATAATTATAACAGAGCATGTTCATGTGTGTTTTTATTAAAAATCACAATTACAACCACAATTACAGTAAGTTTGTCTTTGTAATTCACCCCTGAAGATGATCTCAGAGGAGATACAAAGTACTTGAGGAGGAAGAATCGGATAGCTGAGTTTGAATTCCAGTTGTATCCATTATGTTCATTTACGTGTTAATACCCTTGGGAAAGGTATGAATCCTTTTCTTCTCCCCTCCCCCCAGCTATGGGTAAATAGCAGGATCAGGTTCTATAGCCTTTGGACGGCAACTGGTCTACCGCAGAAAGAAATGGCAACCTACTGCAGGGAAAAAAAATCTGCCTCGTCAGTCATGTATCGAAAGATACATGATCACCTAAGCATGTATCACACATGGCACATAATTGAATGGTGTAATGGATAGTATCAAAAGTAATGTCATGTATCAAAAGATTGCCTAAGCATGTATCACGCATGGCACATAACTGACTTCAAACATGACATTTGTAAATAACAACTAAGTTCAGGCTTATGTCCATATCACATTGAAACACAGGTTCTCATATGATCACTGAAGTTAAGCAATGTCGAGCCTGGTCAGTACCTAGATGGTTGACCACTTGGCAATGCTTGGTGCTGTAAACAGGGATATGTGGTTGATGTAATGGATAACAGCTTGAAATTGGAAATTGGAGAACTTAGTTCCAATTCCACATTCATTTGAGAAACATGAATCCACCTCTTCCCCCCAGCTATGGGTTAATTGGCAAGACTTGTAAATTACTATTATCCCTCCAAAATTCTTAAAATCTAAAAATATTTTCTGGCTTTAAATAACCAGCAAAAAGTTGATAAACTGTAAAAAAACAAATCAATCAAAACTAAGTTGAATAATTTTGTTAAAAGTCAGTGAACAGTTTTGTACTTTATCAAAATTATGATTATTATCCGTCTTCTAATTTGGTAATAAAAAATAAATATTTATTTGTTTTGACAAATGTTGTGGCTTGAAGAGGATCTAGTGAATACCTAACCTACATAAATTATTCTTCAGAATAATTTTCCCTACTTTTTACATGTAGACCAGCCTGTTTAAGAAGTCTTATGTGTATTTCATTTTCTATTATTTATCTATTTATTTTTCTTACAGTATCCTGACAAAAGAAATAAGGATACATCTCAAAAATACAGCCTGGAGAATAAATTTAAAAAAAAAATCCTTTTTTTTAGCACTGAAACAGTCAGTTTGAATTGTAGGATTTAATTTGAAAATCTTTATTTTCTATCCATGCTGCTTAGTTTTGGTCATAGAATGATATATGGACAACTGCTATAAATTGTCATAGAATGACATATGGACAACTGCTATAAATTGTCATAGAATGACATATGGACAACTGCTATAAATTGTCATAGAATGACATATGGACAACTGCTATAAATTGTCATAGAATGACATATGGACAGCTGCTATGAATTGTCATAGAATGACATATGGACAACTGCTATGAATTGTCATAGAATGACATATGGACAGCTGCTATAAATTGTCATAGAATGACATATGGACAACTGCTATAAATTGTCATAGAATGACATATGGACAGCTGCTATAAATTGTCATAGAATGACATATGGACAGCTGCTATAAATTGTCATAGAATGACATATGGACAACTGCTATAAATTGTCATAGAATGACATATAGACAGCTGCTATAAATTGTCATAGAATGACATATGGACAGCTGCTATAAATTTTCATAGAATGACATATGCACAGCTGCTATAAATTGTCATAGAATGACATATGGACAGCTGCTATAAATTGTCATAGAATGACATATGGACAACTGCTATAAATTGTCATAGAATGACATATGGACAGCTGCTATAAATTGTCATAGAATGACATATGGACAGCTGCTATAAATTTTCATAGAATGACATATGCACAGCTGCTATAAGTTGTCATAGAATGAAATATCGGCAGCTGCTATAAATTGTCATAGAATGACATATGGACACCTGCTATAAATTGTCATAGAATGGCATATTCACAGCTGCTATAAATTGTCATAGAATGACATATGCACAGCTGCTATAAGTTGTCATAGAATGACATATGGACAGCTGCTATGAATTGTCATAGAATGACATATGCACAGCTGCTATAAATTGTCATAGAATGACATATGGACACCTGCTATAAATTGTCATAGAATTTACATATGCACAGCTGCTATAAATTGTCATAGAATGACATATGCGCAACTGCTATAAGTTGTCATAGAATGACATATGGGCAGCTGCTATAAGTTGTCATAGAATGACATATAGGCAGCTGCTATAAATTGTCATAGAATGACATATGGGCAGCTGCTATAAGTTGTCATAGAATGACATATGGGCAGCTGCTATAAATTGTCATAGAATGACATATGGACAGCTGCTATAAATTGTCATAGAATGTATATGGACAGCTGCTATAAAAAGCAATGTAAATAAGATGAATAAAGCAAAAAATGAATCAAAATCTGAATTCATTTTTTAATTTTATTTTTCAGCAAAAAATATGATTTGCAATTTGTGTTTTTATTTAAAATCAATTTTGAAAATTGTTGATACACAATGTCGTCAGTGAAGCTCTCTGAATTATTTCCATTTTCTACACTTGGACCATTGTCCCCATTTTTTTTATATTCGCAACATTTCAGCCAATGTTTTATCTGGACTTCAACGGGTGCTTTTTAATCTAGGTAACCTTCAGAGAATTTGAAACTGAACCTCTTATTTAATCTATTGTTCTATTGTCCATGTCTAGGGATAGTGTGCATATTTCTTATTTTAGTACTGCTCAGTTATTGCTTAACCTGTTTCCACTGAGTCCAAATATACACTACCCAGCTCAAGGATTGAACTCATAATTACTAAGGTACTAATTAGAAATTTATTAATAGGTTTAGTTCAAAGTGTCCAGATGGTTACCTGGATTGACAAGGACCTGATGAAGGTTGTAAAGTACAACAGCTGAAACATTATTATGAGATGAGAACAATGGTCTGCATGTAAATAATAACTTTATGATAACAGTAATAACTCTTTATCAAATAATGATTTCTTATGATAATTCCTTATTGCAGAAATTCTGGCAGAAAGGTTTGTGAAGCTATTTTTATAATTTTGTGTGTTGGTGTATGGTTGCATAAAATGAATACTTCTTTTATTCTCGATAATATTAGAATGGCTTGATTAAAATTCTGATAAAGACAAACCTTGATTCTAACTGAACAAAATCATTTGGGAGATGAGCTTGCATAACTCTGCTTCTTTCTTTTTCTCCGTTTTTTTTTTCTTTTTTACCCCCAACTAAGGGACCTTATTATTGAAGAATTAAAAGCAAAAATATTTTGCTAGCATTTGCCTGGAACAATGATTTCTAAATGAGCTTTAAATGCTAGAGGTGCTGTAGAAAGACATTCATGTCAATTAAGAGAGAAAATTAAACTGTTGGGACAATTTTCACTTTTGATGGGGAAATTTTAGGATTCTTCCTGAAATGGTTTTGCATTAAATTGATATCTGCTTCAGTTTGTGCTGACAAAACTGCTGAAAACATTCACTGGTTCATGTGATTCACACACACACACACACACACTCACAGACACACACACACACATGCACACACACATGTGTATGTGTATATATATATATATATATATATATATATATATATATATATTATTAATATTATATTTTAGAAATATTTTACATTGCAACATGGAAATTTTTATGTTTTGGAACTTTAACATTGCTTGATAACGGAACAAATTTAAAGTTCCAAAACACAGAAATTTCTGTGTCAAGATGTAAAATATTTTTTAAATTAAAATATTATAGTCTACATTGTAGTGAGCACTTTTTTAAAAAAAGTAAATTATAAAGAACTGTGGATTCTTAATCTGACTGTTCTTTCTCTTTATATAATATATATATATAGTGTTGTGCAAAGGTAAATGAACCTGTAAGATAATATTTTAAAAAAATGTTTTCTCCAGATAATCAGCAAATGTTAATTAAACTATATATTCATTAAGAAAAGCTTCATTGAATGAATTACGACTTACAAAAATTTTTATCAGTTTAATTAAGATTTGTTGTTTATTGAGAAAAAAGAGAATTTTTAAAATATTATCTTAGTGGTTCACTTACTTTTGCACAGCACTGTGTGTGTATGTATGTGTGTGTGTGTGTGTAATATATATATATATATATATATATATATATATATATATATATATATAAAACCCCATTTCAAGATTGTAGAAAAATGCTAATAGATTTAAATACTGTCAGTGGAAAGTTATTTTTTGTGCAAAACAGGTTCGAAATATTGAATTTTTGTATTCATATATATATTAACCATCTAGTGACATCATACAAGATGTGTGGTATTATTTAAATTAGCAAATGATTAAATTTTCTTAGAATTAAATTTTGGAGGCTCACTTCAGAATATAATTGACAATATTTTCCCTCCTTTAAAGATAAATTTAAAAATTGAGATGATATATTTTAACCAATAAGCTTGAGATTAGTAAATTGGTTTCTTCTGGAGATGATTATTTTATTATAAATATGATCAATTCTTGTTTGCTAAGTAGTCTTTCTGTAAACCTTTGACCAGGGTGTTTTTTTGATCATTTATTACACAAACAAAACTGAAATTCTCACACTTAATTAATTGGTTACATTTTTTGCATATTTATTCCAGTATACAGTATTACAAAAATAATATTTAGTGATAGTGACAACATTCAGCTAAGTTTGTTTACAAGTGGCAACATCTTCCTCTGCCTTCTTTCAGGTGGTCAAAAACTACAATTTATTTATACAGATAAAACAATATAAACCTGTGTCGCATACACCTGAATGCATATAGATGCTTTCTGTTCATCCTATACTAAGACAATTCATTTGGTCGTACTGTATAAAAATGATATAAAAAACATTTTGTGGAAGTTGTTTGCAAAGAATCTTTGTAATTTACTCAAATAAATAAAAATTATTGAAATTTTTAGATCCATGTTTGAAGATTAATTTAATTCTTCATTTTACATGCATATTCCACTACATACATATACATGTGTATGAGGTCTGATCATAAAGTATTGGAATGAGTGCTATAAAATGAAAACTACACTACAAAACTACACTACATATCAATTCAGCATTTAATCTCCTTCGAAGTAGTCCCCTTCTGATGCTATACACTTTATCCAGCATAATTTTCACTAATGTAAGCATTCCTGCAACTCCTCTTTTGGGAAAGTGAGCAACTGCCTCATTATATGCTCTTGATATTCCTCTTGAAATCTTGTTCCTTTCAAGTGGAATTTGAAGCTTGAAGTGGAAAATATCACAAGGGATGAGATGTGGATAATATGGTGGTTGTCGGACATGGGGAATGTTGTCCTTGACTAAAAACTGCTGTACAAACCATGGTCACTGATGGATACTCTGTAGTCTGGTGTGATGACCACACTCTACACACTTTCCTTTCAAGCATTGCTATAATCAACAGGAGTGAGAACATTATAACTTAGTGTGTATATGCAACAGGGTTCAAGGTTGATCTGTGCC